CTCCGCGGGCCCGGCCTCCGCGTGCCGCGGGCCCTGCTTCCTGGCCGGGGACGCGCGCGCCAACCTGCACCCGGCCCTGACGGCCTTGCACACCCTGTGGTTCCGGGAGCACAACCGGCTGGCCGCGGAGCTGTCCGCGCTGAACCCGCACTGGGACGGAGACACCCTCTACCAGGAGGCCAGGAAGATCGTGGGCGCAGAGCTGCAGCACATCACCTACAGCCACTGGCTGCCCAAGGTCCTGGGGCCGCCCGGCGTGGAGATGCTGGGGGAGTACCTGGGCTACGACCCGGGCGTGAACGCAGGCATCACCAACTCCTTTGCCACGGCCGCCTTTCTTCAGTTTGAGCACGCGCTGCTCAACCCCGTTCTTTATCGACTGAACGACACCTTCGGCGAAATTCCCGAAGGCCACCTCCCACTCCACAAAGCTTTCTTTTCACCGTCCAGAATAATCAAGGAGGGTGGGATCGATCCACTACTGCGAGGGCTCTTCGGCGTGGCTGCTGATTTGCGGGTACCCTCCCCGCTCCCCAGCCTGGAGCTGACCGACCAGTGGTTCTCCAGCGCTCGCGCGGTGGTCGTGGATTTCGCTGCCACCAGCATTCAGAGGGGCCGAGACCACGGGATCCCGCCCTACGTGGACTTCAGAGTTTTCTGCAATCTAACTTCCGCTGAGAGCTTTGAGGATCTTCAAAATGAAATTAAAGATTTAAGGATTAGACAAAAACTGAAAAAGTAAGTATGGAAATGTTACCCCTGATCCGAACACGTCTTGGAAAAGGTGAAAGAGCTAAAGCGCATTTTGTGGGGGTGGAAGTTGGTTTCCTGGAGAAGTCATTGAGGAACCTTGAAGAGCTGTTATTTGTGGAGAAGTTTAACATGAAAGAAAGGGTTCTCCCCGAACTGAAATCCTAGGTTATGCTCGGTTGTCTCTCCACTGCTTTCAGAAGTGCAAACATTTCTGCCTTCTGTTAGCAGGGAGTACATTTTAATTAGAAGAGGAGACCTAGGCATACCTGATTCATTTTTCTTCTGCAGAAATCCAAGCAAGGCCATCAAATCTGAGGTAAGGTGATAAAGAAAACTGCTATCATATAGTCCTAGTTAGTCAGAGAGCCAAGCAGAGGAAATGTAAACAATTTTTTTTTTTTTTTTGGTTAAAAGAACAAATAGTTCTAAATATATCAACAGATATAAGTTGAGGCTTTTCATCCCATTTATAATGCCTTTTGGTAGCAGCATTATATTTTTCTAAATGTGAGATTCAAATTTTCTTTGAAGTTACAAGCCCAAACAAAACCCTTCCAGAAAACAGCTTTAACCATTCCTCACATTCACAGCTCTTTGTCCTAAGTATAGGAAACGTTTCATTAAGATTTTGCTACAGTAGGTCAAATCTAGACTAAAATATTTACTTGCAAATTAAGATCTATTAATATGAAATCTTTCAGAGATATTTAAAATTGTTTGCAAATAATAAGCCAGTTGTTTTATGCTACTGCAATAAAACAGTCGATATGAATATATGTGGAATATGAAACTGAAAAACATATTAAAACAAATCAGAACATCATGCAAGTTGAATTTACACATTTCTACAGGAAAGGACTTTGAGTTTAGATTCAGAGAGACCTGGTTTAAGTCTCTGTTTTACCACTTGTTAGTAGTGAGAGCTTATGAGAAATATCTGCATAGTTTTGAATCTCAGAATAAAATGAGAAGGCAGTTTCTCTTTTAAGTATTAGGTTACCTAAACTGCAGCAGATTCCTTGCCCAGTCCCTGCTGCGTCAAAGACAGTCAATAAGTGTTTGCTGTAGATGCTGAGTTCTAATGTTCTGTGGTTATTAAGCTCATTATATTGCTCATCTGCTGAGGTCCAGCCCTTGTGAGGTGGTAGAACCCAACATGAAGGCCACCATGTGCAGGCAGAAAAGAGCCTGGCGGCACGCAGAGGGTGCAGCAGGCTGTGATCACTGGGGAAAGCGCTGAAGGGAGGTGGGAGTTAAACTCTGGCAGCAGGAAGCTGGGACACGGAAAGTATGTGGAAGTCTCACAGCAAGCTACTGATAAAAGACAGCTTTTAGCCAGACATAGTGGCACAAGCCTCCAGAAGCCGAGCCAGGAAGATTTCAGGTTCATGGCCAGCCTGGGCAGTTTAGCAAGATCACGCCCCAAAATAAAGTTTTTAAAAGTGCTGGGGGTATAGCTTAGAGGTGGAGTGCTCACTGAGCTCATGTTTGGGAGCAGTCCTGGAAAACTATGCACTCTACTAGGGAGAGGCTAGGATGGAGGAACTCATGGGTCATCTAGGTGGAGTACGAACATGGCTTGGATACACACTGTGGCAGTGATGAAATCTTATGAGAATTTTAAATGTGTGGTGTGGGCAGATTATCTAAATTGAATAAAACTGGGGCATAGCTCATTTATTTTATTTAACTTATACTGGTAGTTAATTTGCAAATCCCCTGCAAATTACACAGTACTAGTAGTGTTTCTTCCTGAAAATTCTATGTCCCAATGTCCTCCTACACTCTGTCGTCTAATGTGGAACAGAGCAGGCTCCACCATGGGCTGGACCTGTCCTCTCAGTGTCCTGTGTGAGGAGTCACTGGCCCTTCAGATGAACAACAGCCTGATGCACTGAGGATTGACGCACACAGCTGCATTTCTGTTTGGTCTTTTCAGATATTTGAGGATCTTAGCACCGAGATCCTTTGCATCTGGGAGATGTTATCCTTGCCTCAGGCAATGTTTAAACCAGGGGACTGCTCAGCCCTGTGGAGGAGATTAGCACGGACCAACATTAATCGATTGTGGGGGCTCAGGAGGATGAGCTGGGCTGCTTTTCCTTGAGGCTGTTCCAAGCCCCCAAGTCTACCCTTTGATTCACAGCACATTTGTGAAATATCCACTATAGACTTACTCAACTATGAGTACAAAATAAATACATTGGAATGGTTTTTACAGTCTTGACCTGCCAATCAGTAAACTGCAGTGTCTCAGGCACAGATTATGCTGATGAAAATGGCATGACTTTAAATATCCTAATTTACGTAGTATTTTAAACTCTATCCTGCTATATTTTTCCTTTTGTATTAATTTAGAAGCACACTTTACGAGTTTGTTTTTAGATAACTTCAGCTTTGGAAATGGGGAGAGTATGCATCAATGAAGCAACAAAATACAGAAGTTTCAGTACAGAATTTTCAATACAGAAAGCATTGAAAACTTTCTGTTCTGTGTCATTAGTACAGATTGAAGAAAAATTGGATAAGTCCAGGAATCATAAAAATAACATGTGGGCACATTTTACAGAGTTTAACTGCATACTTTTGAGAGTACATGTAGCTTACGATGTGTGTAAAATGTGTTTTCTTTCTTCCTTATTGCTTCTTTGGTCATTGATTTGCTGGTTTGACTTTGGGGGAGCCGTTAGCATGAACTATACCCCTGCTAATTCTTTTCATGATTACAGGGTTGTTCCGATAGAGCAATAGGAATTTTCTATCTAGGCAATGGTATGAAGATAGATCTTTTTCTTTTTTTGTTTTTTTTTCCGGTACTGGGAATCGAACTCACAACCTTGCACTTGCCAGGCAGGCGCTGTGCCACTGAGCTAAATCCCCAGCCCCTTAGGTCTTTTTCTATATGTTTATACAAATCCTTAATGGATGACAGTTAAATAACATGCCAGCCATTTACTGCAATTTTTGACCCTTGTCATGACTAATCTTCTTCAAACAGTGAATTTAGTTTTCACAGGAAAAGTCCTCTTCTCTTTTTCACCAATAGATCACCATTTTACATAATATATAATTAAATAACATAATTAAAATCCCAAGTACAGCTGTGACAAGAAGTAGGAATCGGTCCTCACTCGTCAGGGTTCTGGGAGAGGAGAGGGTCAGTCAGTGCACATTTCTGTGGAGGAAAAAGTTCTTTAAAATAGCTGGACAAAGATGGCCAAGTGTACAAGCTTTGTGAGAATAAAATACCTTTAGGATAAATGGAAGGGTTGTATTTGATATTATAAAATTAAGAGAAAACCCTTCAGGTAATATGTGATAACAGCAAGACTCCTCCCTGTGTCAGAGGCTTGATCCTTTTTACCTGGTCAGGAAAACTGTCTTACATGATCATGGATTATTTAAACAAGTTTTCTTATCTCCTCAGTAAGATGAAGTTGTTTCATTAAATGATTCCTGTGTTGGTTTATTTTTAAGATTATAGAATTCTTCAGGTCATTACTACCAAAGTGATAGACTGAAGTAATATTTTAAAAGATACTCTTTTCTTAATAAATTATTTTGCACAGCTCATAATGCCTTCCTGTTCCAGGAATACTTGCACTGATTTGTGTCATTACATCCACAAGGCAAATGATTTCCCACTTCAGTTAATGTTGAAGGCTTCTGTCAGTTTCTATCCCAGAAGTAAGATCTGATTTTCTTCTCATCCTCTGCTAGGACCTCCAGAGTGGCTCTCTGAGGTTTTATAAAAGGCAGAACAACAATACATGCAAGTCTGTGCTAAGACTTTTCTTTCAACGATGAAATGAGTCTGTCACAGTAGCACTGACCTGTCACAGGAAAGGCACACGGTATGGCCATGTCATTGTCCTTCATCTCACTCCAGTGAGGCTTGCTAGACCCTGGCCTTCTAGCGGGAGCTAATGGCATGGGGCTTGGGGCCACCAACTGCAGGAAGCATTTGTCTGAGAAGGTGGTATGTGTCAGTCCAGTGGTGCTGTGTTACAGAAATACTTGAGACTGGGTCAGTTATAAAGGACCGACATTTATTTCTCTCACACTTCTGGAGGTCTGGAGTTGACCATTGCCCTGGTGTGTTTGGGGTCTAGTAGGAACTTCTGTCTCTTTCCAAGATGCACCTTGAACACTGCACACTCCCGTAGTCGATGGGATCCAAAGGCAAAAGGAACACATGCTGGACGAAGACTCTTTCACAACGTTCTGATCCTGTTAGTCAGCTCCTACCATCCATCACACTGGGGATTAAGTTTCAACTCAACTTTGGAGACACGCATTCAGACTATAGCTGCAGTCCTAAGGGGAAGTGCTGATTATCTGTGAAAGAGTGTTACCTGTAAGGATGATGGCAGAGGTGATTTGAGATTTAAAGCTGACAGGGTAGGGGTGGTGTGAAAGCAAGGGAAGCAAAAGCTGCAGGTCTTCGCACAAAGGCGTCAAATTGTAGAATTAGAGGCAGACTCATCCCACTTCAGTGATATTAAGACTTGTCAGGAAAAGACACATTTTTCTTAATTAAAACTGGAAAGAGAACCCTGATTCTTAAGTTATGTGGCAGTGCAGGGGAGCTGGAAGAGGCAGGTGGGAACAGTGTGACCTCCGTTCTCCTCAGTTTACCCCTCCTGTATCCAAAGACTCACAGCCTTTGGTGAAATGCACACATTTCTTAGTGCCAACAGCTCAGGGAAGTTTTCTTGTTGTTGTTGTTTTTAATCAAAAGTGTTTTGTTTCTTAAGGAGCTCGCTTTACTCAAAGACCATGTGAAACTGAATAATTATCTTTTAATGGGATTATTCTTGCTGTCAAGAACCATAGTGGCTATTTCTTTTTATTCTTTCCAAAACATATTATAATGAGCAGAATGTGAAGATTAATTATCCATTGAGTAGTGAACATACATTCTCAGAAAATGGCTGTTTTTAAAGCTACTTTCAAATCCTCTTTTTGAAAATGGAATATGTATT